AGAGACAATTAAAAAACGCTGCTAATATTATTAAGTTCATCAATAATTGTTAAAATTCCGAGTTAGTGAAATATCGCTTCTTATTAAAAACAAGTTTGGTGCCCGCAACAATTCTGGTTTTTCTTATATATAAACATAATTACACAATCATCGTTTCTTAAAATAGCGACCGCTTTGTGGGATCTGAATTTCTTCTTTAGTAATTGCTTCGGTATTACAATTATCGTTTGAATATTATTTTTTAATTTTATTCACATGCATTTATTTTTTTCAACAAGTCTCATCTTGAATGCTAATTAATTACTCACATTTCAATAAAACGTATTGAGAATTATCGTCGCTTCCTCTTACACACTCATTCGTTGTGACACCTGCCGCGAATAGCACAGCGTGTGACCTTGATTTAGACAAAAATTGCCAGAATGAACCTTGGCGTTTTCCCATGTTAATTTCCATAAGGATTGGGCTAGAAACCGTGTTGCTCCTTTACTTCTGACGTATCAAATTTGGATAAATCTGCTCTAATAACATCATTATAGGCATCTGCGCATTGCATCTCATACACAAAAGTATCGGTATCCATATACATTAATTTACATCGACCGGTGCCCATTTTCTGTAACATGTGGCCATAATGAAAATCGTACATGCATACCTTAGAAATGTCTAAAATTGCCATGCCAATATACAAAGGCTTATTAAATATAACCTTGCTTTTCTTTAGTTCAATAGCCACGAGATTTTCGTCTAAAATTGTTCGACTATGGAACCGAACACTTGCAATCAAGTTTTTGGCCCCATAGCGTCGTTCCCACTGCCTCACCAATTTTACCGTTCTGTGGCGTCTTATGTTCTCCATTGTCTTACCAAACACCGCATTATTCATCAGTTTAAAAAGGTTTTTCTCAAAATCATTTGTAGCTGCCGTCCTCAATCGAGTATTTAACTCGATGTAGGGTTTCAGCCACGCTGATTGTTTAAACTGCAACACTTTATGTATTTTGACTAATTTTAATCCGTTATTTAAAGCTTGTTTTAAATTTCTATAATGCATAATGTATTTTTCTTTACGATAAAGAGTAGTCATTAATTTGGGTAATTTTGAGTCAGGCGGAATGCGGTGTTCGGCAGCAAAAGGAAAATCTTTATGTATATCATGCAATTCACGTGGATATTCTAAATCAACTTGAAAAATGTAACCCTCAGATGCATTATCTGGTATGGACATAATATCAATGTACTCTTTAGGAGAGTCAGATCGGGCAACACCAAATTTATTGGCATTTTCCCACTCGAAACCTTCGTAGGGCATGGGCTCACTCATTGCCCAGCCGTAAAGGTTGTTCACATCTAGGTACATTAGGTACTTTGATGGCTTCGTTGGATCATACTCCGCCATATACTTATTATTAGCTTCCGAAAATCGGTTGCTACATACAGATATTCCACCTCGAATACCCTTTTCTATAAACATTAAAATGTCGATGTCTTTCAGCAATTCTAGTTTGCATGATGTAAACTTAAGCATACATGACCAAGTGTATCCAGGCATTGTATAGTACCATGCTGGATCCAATTGGTACGTATCTCTACATTTCTTTCTGAATTCTTCGAAAACATCAGCAAGCAGAAGAATATCTGTTTTTAAATATAATGCTGAGTATGATCCCAAATTTTGAATATTAAATTTATTATAAATTTATTATAAAAACAATGTATTGGCGGTAATGAAGTTTCTTCTAATTTTGCTAAACTATCAATGTAATCATAACAAAAAACTCCTTTAGTTGTCAATAATTTGAATGTGTCATCATCTATATTTGGAAATTTTTCGTTTCAAAATTTTCTTTTCTTTAATGTCTAAAATGGAGGATAATTCGTCGAGTGAAGCTCCCATAAATTTAAACGAATCTATAAATCTTAATTTAATATCATTTTCATCTGAATACAAAGTAAAAGAAATATATTTTTCTTTATTAATGGGAAGTACGCTCAAACGCCCTTTTTTACATAAATCCCTAATCATAAAATGGCTATCGTATCCACTTAAATTGTGAAACACGACGGGAATAACAAACAATTTTCTGAAATTTAGATTGCAACTTTTATGCGCGAAACCTCTGAACTGGCCTGTGAAGTGGTTGTGGTCTCTTACAATTATATCTGTGGGCAAAAAGCACTTTTCAGATATGTGACAGATTGACGCTACACATGTGTCAGGTTTTTCACTCATAGGAACATTTTGTTTTTTTAATATCGAATTAACAAATCTGGACACTTCAACCATTTCATTTGCAAACCAATCCATGCAATCGGTTCCTTGGTAGCTCCTAAAGTACGAAAGGTTATCGTCATATGAACATTTTAAATAGTACCCAGCACTATACGGCACATGTTTTTGATATTTAGTTGTTTTAGTAATTTTAAGAGAAGACTCTGCAACATTTTCTAACTGGCATTCAAAATCAGCATAAAGTACGAAAGGAGTAGTTTGTTTATATGAAAAATCTCCAAATTTAACATGGTCATATTCAGGAAACGATATTTTACATTTATTTAAATCAGAACAATTTTCTTCGTGTGTAGCTAACTTATCTTTGTTATAAAAATAATTTAAACATCGATCGCAAAAATACAATTTATACCTAGTTTTATTTAACTGATTACAGAGTAATCTTGATAAATCTTTAATCCAAACGTAATGAAATTTGATTTCATCCTCAGATTGATCGCCACCACCATCTGCTGGTGGGGCTTCATAATCATTTAAGTTTGGATAATATTTATTTTGAATTAGAAGTAAATTTACGTGTTGTTCTCGTTTAATATTGGTAAGCCTAGCTGGTACTACTACGTAAAATGTTTTTTCTCTCTCTAAATTCATTTCTAATGCATGACCGTTGACAGAAATATTATTTAATTTTCAAATTTTTCAATTTTATGTAAAGACATTGGAGCTTCCAAGTCCTCGGTTTTCAGAACTGTACTATAATATGGATATGAGTATGTTTGCTCTTTATTTGTACGTGCAGGCCAAAGGGCGCTTACAATTGCCCAATAGAAGCAGTTTTGATCCCTATTTTTTACGTTAATACACGCCCGTTTTTTCTGAATTGATTTCGGCAGTTTAATGTAAGACGAGCCATTGCCTATTTCAAATTTATTAATATTAATCTCTAATGATATAATTTTAGATAAAGCAGCTCCAGAATGCCTTTCTTGAAAATCGGATAATTTTAACAAAATTTGTTCTCTAACATTATCAACAAACCAACTAAGTAAATCGGTATACTGGTCTATAAGAATATTCTTTGTATTAAAATAATGAAAATCCAACACTTCTTCATCCCCACACTTTCTTTTTACAGAATGAAATGAACTGAGACATGCTTTAATTTTTTGTTTACAGACTAGGTAAGCGTCATCCAAAAATTTGCCCAAATCCTTATGACGTAAATTTACAATAATCCCAGTCCTAAGTCTACTAGCAAAACTCGAGGTAACGTTTTCCCATCTAACCCTATTACGTAATTTGGAATTTAGTCCTAACCCCACATGTCTATTTAAAATTAATTTACGAAAATGTTTAAAATGTCCAATGTTTGTTTGTAATTTCCTTCTTACGCCAATGGATAAGTTTTTATCTTTAATGCACTTATTACAGGCTTTAACTTGTTTATTTAAAAGTTTTAACCAGATCTCAGCATCTCTAGCAGAAAATTTATCAAAAATAATTTTGCGTAATTTTCTAATCGCTACCAGCACTTTATCAGAACGTTTAATCACACTCGACATTTTTTGTGACTTTAATAAAAAAAGAATAACAAAAAAAAAATTCTTACCCCTCTCTGTTTTCTTATTTACACCTAATGCTCGATAATTTCAAAGGAAGCAAGTGTACTCGGTTTTCCTACGGCGATTTCTCCTCTGTAAATAATGCTGTAGTGTTGACTAGCGAATTCGTCCAAGTATGGTCTATACGTTTCTGTAACTCTTTGGGGGTAGGAATACTGCTTTATCCACCAACTCCAACAGAACGGCGTCTCCGTACTTGGTATTTACGATTTTGGCTTTGCTGATTTTGACCGGCTTATTTAGGGGCAACTCTGAAATTTTTATCGTCTCTTTCCTTTCTACAAGAGATACGTTGTTTAATTCGATTAGACTCATCTATAAAGAAAAAAAAATATTCTAAATATCTACTTGCAACTAATAAAAATTGTTTTAATTTATTCTCTCTAGAAAAACGAATAAAAATTGTAACCATGAAAAACAAAACCATTTATCAACTCATCAAAATAGTATACATTTAAAATTTCAAAACGAATATTAAACTATGGTCATAAAAAAAGAAAAACGAATATTAGTCTATGGTCATGAAAAAAGAAAAAACTAAACTAAATTGGATAGAAAATGATTTTTAAAAATAAAAAAATTACCTACATTTATTTTTTATAGGAGAAACACAATTAACAGCACTGTCTGGCGTCGCGTTATGAACCTGAGTGTCGAATGTGAAATGCCTCCCATGTATGTTCGCTTATAAGCTACCGATATTACGTCAATGCAGCGCGTTTCTCGGTTGGGGACTCTCCGGAAATACCATTGCAATTGCAGTTAAATTAATCGTTATTCACAATTCGTAGTATTTTTATAATTAATATACACCATTTGGAATAGGGACTCCCCTCCGGAAATACCATTGCTGCAGTTAACTTAATCTTTATTGAGAATTCCTGGTATTTTTGTATGTGATTAGTAATCTAACATATGTATCTGTTCTAGAAATTTCAATTGCAACGAAGTGTTTAAAATTAGTTGTGTGAACATTTGTCTTTCCGGAAATTCCAATTACATGCAAAATAATATTTTCTATACATACAACGTGTATGAAAAATTAGGAACGTTTATGCGATTTTTTTTCCCTAAAACTGAATAGGAGTAAAATTCGAGGCTTATGTATTTTTGCTAAAACTGAATAGGGCTAAATTTCGAGGTTTATGTATTCGTTATTTACTATATCAACTTTATTCTCTGTCAAAATGTCGATCAAGGTAGACGTATTAGTTATTGTTGTGTTCACTTTTACGTATGTACAGTGTACAGATTTCTCCGAAAAAGATGCTATTGCATACCTAAATCAATATGAAAATGTTGTTTTTAATACTAGTGATATCTTCACCTTCCTGATTAATTTTCAAGAAAAATATAATTTACCTGTAGATGGACTTTTAAATAATTCAACAATCAAATTTATGCGCCGACCACGTTGTCAGCATGGCGATACAGAATTTACGGTGGGTTCTCCATGGCAAAAACACCATCTACGATGGTATTTTCCTCAAGCAACACCTGCAGCTCGGACCGATGCACAAACGGCTTTCCAAATGTGGCAAAATACTTCAACATTAACGTTTGAAATGGTTACTATCCCTAGTATAACACCTCCTGATATTACTATAACTATGGTTCGCAAAACTCATTATTTTAGAACAAATTGTATGGGTAATGAGGTATGCACGTTGCCCCTTGACGGACCTCATGGCGTCTTAGGACATTCATTTTTCCCGCAAAGGGGTATTTGTAGAGAAATCCATTTAGATATAGAGGAACATTGGTATTTTGGAGAGAGAAATAATATTCCTGACGGCTCCATCAGTTTTCTTATGGTATTAGTTCATGAAATTGGACATGCCCTAGGAATTGGACATAGTGATAATCAAAACGCTGTTATGTATGGGGCATATCAAGATGTGATCCACAGTCTGCATACTGATGATATAATGGCAATTCAATATCTCTATGGACTTAAGAAAAAGTATGTTCCAATATCGACGTCTACGTCGATTCGTCCGATAACTTCTAGGAACTCTACTAAAGCACCGGCTACGACGATTCATCCGATAACTTCTAAGAACTCTACTATAGCACCGTTTACGAGGAAAATTCAAACTACAAGAAAACCATTTTCGACTAAGCATTCAATAACAATGAAAAATGTGTGTGATATTGTCCCAGATTTTATGTTTTTAGCAATTGCATCAGACTTTTCTAATTACCGCTTATACATTGCCTATGATTCATTTATATGGAAACTCGATTTGAACGAAATGATTATCCCATCTCAGCCGGAACTTCTTGTTGATTATATTCCCGAAGATCTACGTCAATATACCTTACATCACATTTTTCAAACTACAATCGGCGACTTGGTTACTATTGTGCCCCCAAATAAATATTTCTCAGTATCATTTCCTGCTGTTCAAGTAATAGATGATTTTTCAATTAATATGCCCAACAACACTCATATAAATGCTATTTTTCAATCAAATTCAGGTCGGTCCTATTTCTTGTACAATAATATGTCGTATATAGAGTTTTCTAATGATTTTACTATCATATTAAATAGAGGACGAATAAGAGACGTATTTCCTGGAATACCTCAAGATATTTCTTCCGAATTTCGATGGATCGATGGGCATATTTACTTTTTCCGGCAGAGCCGTTACTGCAAATTTAGTGAGTTTACAAGAAGAGTTGTTGCAGCAGGAGCATTTCATTGGAATTTATTTGGAGTACCTTGTCCAAACGAAAATATTTTGCAACAATTAAAAACTCTGTTATCTAAAATTATATCTGTGTATAATTAAAAATTATATTTTATTATAAAAATGTGTTGTAGAAATAAAATAAATTTGAGAATTCCACTTTTCTGTATTCTACACATAAATACCTTTTCAACGAGGTATCACATGCTCCAGGGCGGGGGTGGGGGCCGCTGACCGCGGGGGCGGGGGTGCAGGGCGCCTGGCACGAACCATGCCATCCCACTATGCCTGACCAAGTCCGCGCGAATCGTCTCTAACACATTGATTTCCCATAGCTATAGGTACCTCTCTCTCTAACACATTGATTTCCCTATACCAATAGTGAGGCCTGTATAGTATATCTACTCCGCATACCAGATAACCTAAACCGAATTCTCCTTGCGCAAATCAGCAGTTTTTTGACGCTTACTACTTTCGCAACCAAATGAAAAATCGAGCAAAGGGCGGCCAATTTTTGACTGATCTAAAGCACGTGTATAGTTGGTAAAACCCACTGTAATAGCCAGGTTTTATTGGTTTCAGCAAAAACTCTACAAGCTTTTTGCCATTTTGTATTTTGTTTTAAAATTTTAAAATTTGGTTTGAAATAATTTGAAACATGTGTCAGTTGGGCAATTTGTTAACTTCTTACATTATCGGTTTTGTTTTTTTGAAGGACATTCTTAAATCTTTTCCCACAGATTTCGTCGACTAATTTCTAAGTTCAAATAATCACAAACATTGGAAGCAAATTTATTTATATTAGAGAAAAATAATTTCATTGCAGAGACAGTTTTTGTGCGGAAAGAAAGACTGAAAAAAAACCAAAATCAACGTGCCGATAAATTTTAATCTAATTAGGGTTTTTCATACTTTGCAAAATAAATGTGATTAAGTCCAAAATAACTTTTTAAAAAACAAATTTTAAGATTATAAATTTTATTACTAGTTTCTACAATGAATGCTAAATTAATAATGAATTGTTTCTCATAAAATAATAAAAAGGTGGAATGAACGTGAAAATTCAAGCTTGCATTCTCCTGGCATCAAGTTACACAGAGTTCGCTGTACTGCGACCATAACTCCTCCGCCGTTAGAGGGAAATTCTGGGGCTGGCAACAGGATTTTGAAGTTCCAAATTTGGGGTTTCTTAACTTCCGCTCTTGATTTTGGGAACTTGACTTCCTTTCCTATGAAATAATTTAAAGATTCCAAAAATTATAAAAATTGCAAGTATTACATAAATTAAAATAGTCCAAGCACTTATTTAATTTGGAAGGATTAGGTCCGAAATTTCACTTATTTTGTGTTTTTGAGCTTCTAATATATTTTTAATGTTTTTAACGTCATCTAAATTAATCGAATATAATTTAATCGGCACGAATTTAACTTTTGAGTCTATTATAAGTTTATTTTTAATGTTTGAGTCTGGAAGGTTATTTAATTTAAAGTCTTTTTGATAATTTTGATAATTTTGATAATTACGAATATGGGTACCACTTATGTTTACGTTACAGTCTGCACTAAGTTCTAAAACAAAGGTTCCCCTCGGAGGGGGATGCTGTCTTTATTGATTCCGCACTTTTGAATAGCTACAGTTTCTTTCGGGGTTGTGATGATCCAATGGTTCTTTTCCAGTTTTTGAATTCTTAATTTGGGCATCTGGACCGGCACCTGTTCACAAGACGTGACGTTGTTGAAATAGCGGAGCATTTGAATTTCGCATGGGGTATCTTCTGTAATTGTAACTGGACTGTTCTGTTTACACAAGTATTCCTCTGGAGTAATTTCTTCACATTTTTTGTCGAAAAATATGTAAGAGTGGTGATTTAGAATGAGGTATTTGGTTTGAGGAATGATTACTTTAAAGGAATTTTTGATTGGGGTAGGTAAGGCAAACATGTGATAATAACTGTAAATTTCGCTTTCTACTAAGGGTATTTCAAGAATAAAAATTATTTGGTATCCTTTACTGTAACTTTTAATTTCGATTATTTTCTCAAACAATAGAATATTTTCTAATTTTCCTTCAAATGGAAGTCTATTAACTTTTAATTGTTTACTAATTAACATTATTTTGGCTAGAAGCTCATGAGGTTCAATTATTGAATTGTGAAATGTATTCAGTTTAGAAAATGAAATGGATACTGTAATCTTCTCTAAAATATTATAAATTAATTGATAAACTGGGATTATTTGTGAAATAACTGTATCAGTGACAAGGTACTGATAGTCAGAATGTTCATTATTTAATAAATGTTCAATTTTTTCTATTCTGTTTAATAGGATTTGTTCGTTATGAGCCAGGGTACTCGTGCTATTTTTAAAGTGATTTATAGAATTTTGTAAAAGTGTAATTTGACTTGCAGCTAAATTTTTTAGTTTTGATTGGTTTTCTGAAAGTAGTGCTATTGCTTTATCGTACTTTTCAGCATCATCTTGATCTAAATTGCCTGTTAAAGATCTAAGTCCGTTTAATAATCCTCTTTTGTTTCTATTGTGATTTAATGGATTTAACTGATTTAATTAATTACTTATTTTTTGTTTTAAATTTTTTATTAGATCACAAGCATTTTGAAATTCATCAATTGGCTTGGAATTTGTATTATTTCTATATATTGATTGTTGTAAATTTCTAAAATTTGTTTTAATTGTTTCAAACTCTTTAACTACGTCTGAAATATCAAAGATTTGGATAAATGACCAAAAATCTATTTTATTTTGAGCATTACCTAATTTGTAGAGCAAAAGGCCAGGGTTATTATTAGGTCATAACCTTAAGGAATTTGGGATAGGTTACTCGCCGCAGAGGTGGATGGATAACCTGTAACAAGTGGAGGTTGTTTTAATTCTTTTATATGGATTATTTCTTTTTTGTTTTTATTTCGTTTTTCGGTAATTTCTACTTTATTTCTGTCTAAGAGATTAGTGATTTCGTATGGACCAATGAATTTATTATTTTTCTTACTACGATATTAAGAATTTTGTTTAAATACTATTTGACCTAATTTAAAATCATTATTTATGTCTCCTTTCTTATTTCTTTTGTCAGTTATTTTTTGTTTTTGATATTCTAAATTTTTTCTTACATCATTATATATATGTTCAAGTTTTTTCTTATGATTCTCAGCATAATTTGTAAAAAATGCCGTTGGAATAAAAATTTCGTTAGGGTTCCGTGAGTCTGTATGTCCAAAGGTCAGTTCAAAAGGAGTATAATTTGTCGAGCTATGTATTGAATTGTTATAACCTAGGATAGCATAATTAATTAAATCGTCATTGTCGTTTGGATAAGTTTCTTTTAGTAATCTGAGGTGCTCTATTAAACTTGAATTAAATCGTTCTGCTATACCATTAGATTCATGGTGCGCTACTGTGGTAAAATGAATTATGAATTGAATTCGGTTCCGTTATCTAATATTAGTTTTTCTGGTACACCAAAAGAAGAAAAATATTTTATTAATGCTTTGCATACGTGAATAGCTGTTATGCCTTCAATATGATAAGCTTGTGCGAATTTTGAGAACGAGTCTATAATAATGAAATAAATTTTGTTATCATAATAAAAGAGATCTATTTGAAAAGGTTTCGATGCGGTTTCGGTGACTATTAGGGGTACATAAGGTGGGTGTCTACCGTACTTGGCACGTTGACAAATATCGCAAGAATGTATGTAATCCGATATTGTTGTTTTCATATTTTTCCAGTAATAATTTCGTTTTAAATATTCGTAAGTTTCAACAATACCACGATGGTTATTTTTACCTTCGTGATGATGTGATTTGTGATTTGTTCCTCTTTTCGGCCACGGTATTTATTCTCTTTAAACATCTAATTAATTTTGGGCCTTTTTCCGAGAATTTTTCTAAATATACTTTATTAAAATTTTGATATAGAGAGTCGTTATGAAAATGTAAATAGTATGTTCTTTTCATAATTGTATTCTTTTAAAAATTCTAAAATGAGCTTTTCATTATTTTCAATAAGAATTTTAACATTTATAATTTTGTGGTTTTCATATGTTTCTTGAGTAATAGTTAGTTTAGGATATGGGTAAGGTGTAACTATAATTTTATTCACTTTATCGTTTATTATTGCGTCCAATATTCTTATACCGTCATTAGTAGTTTCATTATAAGTACTGTGTTAAGTTGAGTCAGAGTCGTCACTGATCTGATTGTCAGGGGGTTTAATTTGAATGTCAGAAATAATTGAAATTTTTGGTTGATCGTTAGTACTTGTCAAGGGTTTAACAGGTAGTCTCTCATCGAGGAAGTTATTTAAAAATTGATCTAGTTCGCTTGGATCTCTAATTTCACCTGGATTATTAATTATTGATTCGTTTTTTAACGCATTAATTACTACTCGTGATAACGCATCGCAATTTGTATTTAAGGTTCCTTTTTTATATACAATATCATAATCGAATTCTTCTAACTGGAGTCTCCAACGCATTAATTTTGAGTTTGGTTCCTTAAGATTAAATAGCCAAATTAATGGTCTGTGGTCACAATATATATTGTAAAACGCACACCCCATAAATAAGGACGAAAAGTTTTGCAAGCCCAAACTATGGCAAGCAATTCTCTTTCTATCGTACTATATTTTTGTTCGGATTCGTTTAGAGTCCTTGACGCATAAGCGATTTGTTTATCGGAACCTACAGGACCTTGTGAAAGTACTGCACCTAAAGCTACACTAGATGCATCTGTGGCAAGTACAAAAGGTTTCAAAAAATCTGGATATTGGAGTATAGGAGAATTGATTAACAAATGTTAACAGGTATTAAATGACGAAATAAAATTTTGATCATGTTTTACTTTAGAATTTTTCTTTAGACATAATGTTAGCGGTTTTGTTATTTTAGCAAAATCTTTAATATATTTCCGGTAATAACCTATTAAACCTAGAAAACTTTTAATTTCCTTTTGCGTATTCGGAATTGGGTAATTTTTTATAGCATTAATTTTGTCTGGGTTAGGCTTAACGCCTTCGGGTGTAATAATGTGACCTAAGTATGCGACTTCCTTGAGAAGAAACTCGCATTTGTCTAATTAAACGGT